TGTACTAATTAAATTTTGTATTTTAGCGGGTTACCAAATTGGAAATCGCCCAATATATGTTCCAAATGTCCAAGCGGGATCCAATTGTGTCAGGTCAAGACCTCCACCAGCATACAACACGAGCGTTGCTCAAATGGCAGCCAGAATGCATCGGCTGGGAAGAGCACATTCCCATGAGGGCGTTACATCGACTTATTATATGAGAGACGATGTTGATGATGACGATGGTAAAATTTATTAAATTTGAATTAATTTTTGTAACATTTTTTAAGATTAATTTTTATATTAGATGATGATGCTCAAGTATCAGCAGTATGACTAGTCAAACCATCTATAATAAAAAAATAATAAGCCATGAACATATCAAAACAAAAAAATGATTTGAGAATTTTAAGATTATTGTTTCCATTTTATTTATAAGTACAAAATATAACTATTACGCATTGTATTGTGAGAGCTATACGACTTATGGGTGTACATTTTGTTTTGTAAATTTTCCAAAACTTTGTACTTAGATTTTTCTTTTAATCTTTTCTAAAAATTTCTCAATGTCATAGTAATATGCTATTAGATATAAATTAAGTATGTATTAAATGTTGGTATTATTTTTATAACATTATTATTAATTATTTTATTAATAATTTTTTTTTTATGTTATTTCATTTTTATGATTATATGCTTTCTTTTTGTTGCATTATTGTATCGGCAATATAAATTAATTACATTAGTCATTTTTATAGTGTGTCTATAGTATTGTACATTTATCTAAAAAATAGAGATAAGATCTATACAAGAAAAAAGACACANAAAAGACACAAAAAAAAAAAAAATTACTGTATTATTTCTATGTACTTTTTCAAAAGTATTATTTTGTATATCAATATAAATTATTTAGTCAAATTGCCTAAATGAATCACATCATGTCTATAATCCATTTTATGAATTATTATTACCTGCTGTTGTGTTATTATGATTTATACTTTTTCATTTGTTTTTAAATTTTATTCCTAAATTTTATATTATATAAATGTAAATTACATGACTTCGAATTTAATTTATGTATTGTTGCTATTGACTGAGTAAGTGTAAATCATTCATAAATATTATCATGTTTTTTTTTTAATTATTATTATTTTTTAATTTTATTTGTATTTACTTTTTACCATGACATTAAGCTTTATTTAAATGTTAAAATATGAACACTATGCCAAATCATAATTATTGAGAACTTATTTGGTATCCATGAACAATTCTTTTTCTTTTATTGACGTGGATTATTTATAATGGAAATAAAAATAACAAAATCAAATATTTTCTTATTTCCTTCATAATAAATGTCTTGTTTATTTTGTCTTATAGATAGTTTTAGAAACATTCTTCTCATTTATGAAAATTCTTTTTTTACTTATAAATTAAATGAAAAAGTTTCAATCACTTAAATGTTGGCTTGGATAAAATAAAATTGAAATATGTGATATTAAAATTACTCTAATATAAGATATTTTTGAATTAACAAGTGCAATTTTCTTCTCATTTATGAAAATTCTTTTTGTACTTATAAATTAAATGAAAAAGTTTCAATCACTTAAATGTTGGCTTGGTTAAAATAAAATTGAAATATGTGATAATAAAATTACTCTAATATAAGATATTTTTGAATTAACAAGTGCAATAACATAGTTAAAAGATAAAAAAATCTAAAATTCAATAAATTATTTCATTTTTTANAAAAGATAAAAAAATCTAAAATTCAATAAATTATTTCATTTTTTAGAAAAAAAAATAAGTAAAATGAATCCATTTACCATTTTTATATAATTAATAAAACTATTAAAGTTATACATTATAAAGCCAATCAAAATGTCATAATTATTCTGTAGAATAGGTTAACAAACAGTAAAATTCTTTTTAATCCTCATTAGAAAAATAATAAGCAGATTAGAGAATTAAATTTTGTAACAATATTTAATTTACTGTTTCTGTTAGTACACTACTGTTAGAAGTGTTCAACTCTAAACAAATCAATTTTAAATATGTCTAAGACGACTTACTATTTATAAATAATTACTAGTCAATGGTTATATAATTCTATCAATTTTAATCAGAATTATTAATCAGTTTTACTATTTTATGTTCTAATTCAAACTTTAAATCTGACATAGTAAGCAAACTAAAATCAATTATTTTCATTGAAATCTCTCCAAACTGCATCTGGATCTTAGAATTATATACACAAATAAAAATATCTCTGTTAAGGTAAACTATTTTATTTTAATTATAATCTCAATGATAAATTGAGTAATCAAATTATTTAAATGTATCATTATAATAACTTTATTTTGTATGTGACTGTTCGTATATATCAAAAGAAATAGGAATACACATACTATTAATGGTTAAAAAAGTTGTTTACAAAAATGAATGTTTTTAT